CATACACGAACAATAGAATCTCTCCTCTGTGCTTGAGAGATAATTGAATTAGGAACTGTACTAATCTAACCCAATTATCTCCAAGCACAGAAATACATACAATTTTATGAAACCCCAAAAAGTACCTTAAAACACATAAAACCCCATACAAGTTACATCCCCTGATAGCCCCGATCTGGGTGAACAACATATCCAAAAATCACCCATATTGTTCCAGGGCTTCAGGAATTTCCTGGAAATCATAGCTTTGACCGACCGCGCACATGGTCCTATGCCCAAAACGGTTCCAGGGAAATCAGTGCTAACAGTTGGTCACGTTTGGTTGTCTTTTACAGGTTTCCCTGGAGGGCCCATAGTCTGTGGGCAGGAGGCTGGCAAGAAGGCCCCTCCAAGTACAAGTGGCGAGGTTACTTTCACCACAAAGAGTTTACAACCTGGGGCGAGTCCTTCCGGTGTTGAATCCATGGTTCTCATTTTTTTCCCTTGTACTGACCAATGTATCTCGTCTAGCTCCCTCATTTTCTCCACTCTTTGTACCCATTGTTCTCTAGTTGGTATCTGAGTCTGACGCCAGTACACTGGAATTAAAGCATTTGCTTCTCCCAGTAATATGTTCAGTAGTTGCTGCTTATATGTCTCTCGGTCAGAGTTGGGACAACCGAGCAGAGCCTGAAATGAGGCTTATTGGGCCTTCAATGGGATAATCATTGCTTGCTATGTCTGCAACTATTTGTTCCCAGTATGGCCTTATGTTTTTGCAGAGCCCCCAAATGTGTTCTATATCCCCCTGCTCATTGTTACACCTCCAGCATTTATCGCTGATTGTTGGCCAGTAGGTATGTAGCTGCACTGGGGTCCTATTGCATCTGGTGACCCTTTTATATAAGGTCTCCTTTCTGGAGATACTGACTGGGGTTTTCATCCCTGTTTCTAGGATATGTGTCCAGTCCTTATTAGTCATGTGAATGTGTAGGCCCTGCATCCATTTTTGTTTAAAGGAACCCTGATATTGCTTCACCGAACCTGCTTAAAGTATGTGATATATTTTAGATAGTGGGCGTTTCTGGTCATTGCCTGGGCCACATAATGTCACGACAGTGACCAATGTCACAACAGTGACCCCTTCACACAGCGTGAAACCCACAGAAAGACGGTTACCGGACCTTAGAATGGCCGGACTAGCGTCTGAGAATAGTCAAAGGAATAGCCAGAGGTCAAGGGAATACGGAAGAGGGGCACACGATTATCCAAGCCAAGTAACCGGAAACCAGAAAACAGAATAGAGAGATAGCCAAGGGTCAATTACCAAGAAGGACAAACAGAGACAATAGCACCAGGGGACTTTAAACAAGAACCACACTAGGGCATCTGACAAGTGTCATGATAGCCCTTTTATAGTGTGGGTTCTTTGGCTTTAATTTTGTAGCCACGCCCCCAAAAAGTCCGGGAGCGTGGCCACGTTTGAATTTTGGCAGCATTTTCTTTCTGACGTCAGCGCGCATGCGCCGCGTCATAAAGGTGGGCGTGTTCCGAGCGGCCGGCGTCAGAAGAGCTGAGCCACCCGCCAGAAGTATCGGAGGAGGACCCGGCGCTGCGCGGGACCGGCGGGGAAAGGTAAGCGCTCGTTACAGTACCCCCCCTCGAGAACCGCCCACAGGGCGGGCGGAACCAGACCCACAAGAGCACCGCCTCTCAAACAGACTAACCAGACGAGGGGCGTGAACATCAGATGCATCCACCCATGACCGTTCTTCGGGACCGTACCCTTTCCAATCAAGGAGATATTGCAATTTACCCCGAGAAATCCGGGAATCCAATATAGATTTAACTTCGTATTCAACATGATCCTCCACGGGTGCGGAAGGAGGAGTGGAGATATTCTGAGTGTAACGATTACAAATGAAAGGTTTGAGAAGGGAAACATGAAAAGCGTTAGGAATCTTCATAGTATTTGGCAATCTCAAGCTATAACAGACTGGATTGATGCGTTTGAGTATTTGAAATGGGCCTATGAAACGGGGAGCGAATTTCATCGAGGGTACCTTTAACTTTATGTTGCGGGTACTCAACCAAACCCTGTCACCTGATACGAACGTAGGAGCAGCCCTGCGTCGTCTATCCGCATTATTCTTTTGAATCTGAGTCTTTTGAGTTAAGATATGTTTAACCCCTAACCAAGTTTCTTTCATATTGTTAAGAGTGCTGTCAACACTAGGCACTCCTGTAGATGAAAAAGAACTCGGCAAAGTTGTAGGATTAAAACCATAATTAATAAAAAAGGGACTATGTTGAGTGGATTCGTGCATCAGATTATTATGGGCGAATTCAGCCCATGGAAGCAGTTCCACCCATTCGTCTTGGTGCTCAGAAGTGAAACAGCGGATGTATTGTTCCAGGCATTGATTCATCCTTTCCGTAACCCCATTTGATTGGGGATGGTAAGAAGAAGAAAGGTTAAGGATAATACCTAATTGGTCACAAAATGCCTTCCAGAACCGTGAAATGAACCGTGGACCCCTGTCAGAAGTAATATCTTGAGGTATGCCATGTAAACGCACTACCTCTTTTATAAATAAAGAGGCCAGTTCAGAAGAGGATGGCAATTTGATTAGTGGGATGAGATGAGTCATCTTAGAGAATCTGTCGACTATAGTCAATATAACCCTATGATTCCTGGAGGGAGGTAGGTCCACTATAAAATCCATACCAATACTTGACCAGGGTTTATCGGGAATGGACAATGGCAAAAGGAGGCCCAAAGGACGACCTTTGGATGACTTCGTGGAGGCACAGACCCTACAAGCAAGAATGAACTCGCGAACGTCCTTCTTGTATGAAGGTCACCAAAACTGTTCTTCGAGTAAAGACTCAGTTTTGTGAATGCCCGGATGCCCTGCCAATTTGGAGTTGTGTACAAGGAATAAGACCTTTTTCCTATAAGCCAATGGTACGTATAATTTTCCCCTGGGAACAGTCAATGAGGTCTGATCCTGAAACCTAGATAATTCCTCCATTAACCCTGAAGAGATTTTGGCATGGATGGTGGCGATTATGTGGTTGGATGGGATTATGGAAGAAAAATGAGTTACTGTCGGTGTTAAGTGTTCATGTTGACGGGATAAGGCGTTAGCCTTAGTGTTCTTTGATCCTGGTCTGTAAGTTACATTGTTACAATGTAATTGAATCGTGTTAAAAATAAAGACCATCTAATCTGCCTGTCTGACATTCTTTTAGTTTCTCCAAAATACGAAAGGTTTTTGTGATCCGTAAGGATGGTGATGGGAATGGTTGACCCTTCTAACAGATGGCGCCACTCCTTGAGAGCAGAGATAATAGCCAATAATTCCCTGTCCCCAATGTCATATCTCTTTTCTGTCTCAGTTAATTTCTTAGAAAAAAATCCACAGGGATGCAATGGTTGATCATCAGATGGACGTTGATATAGCACCGCACCAATACCGGTTTCAGATGCAACCACCTCTAATATAAAAGGACGAGAGGGATTGGGATGCCTCAACACCGGTGCAGAAGAAAAAGCCAATTTAAGTCTCTCAAAAGCTTCCTTGGCCTCGAGATTCCATTCCATAGAATTTCGTCCTTTTTTGGTCATGGCAGTGATAGGTGCAGTGAGAGAGGAGAAACCCTTAATAAATTTTCTATAATAATTGGCAAATCCTAGAAAGCGTTGGATGGCTTTGAGTCTAACGGGCAGGGGCCAATTAAGGATAGCTTCTAGTTTTTCCTTATCCATTTGAAATCCAGACCCTGAAATTATATAGCCCAGAAAATGCACAGTGTCCTTATCAAATTGACATTTCTCCAACTTACAGTAAAGTCCATTTTCTAAGAGTTTAGAAAGAACCAACCTAATGTGAGTATGGTGGTCTCTAATATTCTTGGAGTAGATTAGAATATCGTCTAAGTAGACAATAACAAACATCTGTAAATATTCCCTTAAAACATCATTAATGAAGTCTTGAAAGACTGCTGGGGCATTACATAACCCGAATGGCATGACCCGATACTCGTAGTGACCATAGCGAGTATTAAAAGCAGTCTTCCATTCGTGCCCTTTTTTAATCCTGACTAGATTGTATGCTCCCCTCAGATCCAATTTCGTGAAAATAGTCGCCCCTTTTAATCTATCGAAAAGTTCTGTAATTAAAGGAATAGGATAGGCGTTACGTATAGTTATTTTGTTTAAACCCCGATAATCGATACAGGGCCTTAAGTCCCCTTCCTTCTTGGAAACAAAAAAAAACCCAGCGCCAGCTGGGGAGGAAGATTTAGTAATAAATCCCTTTCTTAAGTTTTCCGTGATATATTCTTCTAGTACCTTATTCTCGGCTACCGAGAGGGGGTAAACCGTGCCTCTAGGGGGCATAGTGCCAGGTAATAAGTCAATGGGACAGTCATAGGACCGGTGTGGAGGTAATTTTTCTGCCTCTCGTGGTTCAAAAACTGCTTTCAGATCCCAATATTGTCTGGGTATCTGAGTGGTTAAAGGTTCCATAGTAGTTACATTAAGTAGACCTACGTGTTTAATAGGGGTAATACATTTTCTGCGGCAAGTCTCACTCCATTTTACAATTTCTTTTTTCTCCCAATCTATAGAAGGGTTATGTTTAGAGAGCCAAGGAAAGCCAAGAATAACAGGAAAGATGGGAGAAGTGACCTGTTGCAGGATTATAACCTCCGTATGCAGGGAACATACGGACAATACCACTGGAAGAGTCTCTTATGTGATAAAAGGGATTGATAATGGTCTACCGTCTATGGCCTCAACGGCCAAGGGTGTTGATCTGTTTTGAAATGGGAGAGCATGTTCCTGACCGAATTTATGATCAATAAAATTTTCGGCCGCCCCAGAGTCTATTAAGGCAATGGTTGGCACCTTTTTTCTTTCCCACTCAATAACAATAGGTAGAAGAAGCCTATGATCTTTTTTATCATTAAAGGAGGACATACACACTACACCCAAGGCCTGTCCTCCTTGAGGGCTTAGGTGCGGGAGTTTTCCGGCCGGTTAGGACAGGTTGAACGAGAATGTCCCTTTCGGCCACAATATAGGCATAGTCCCTCCCTACGACGGTATTGTCTTTCATTCTCAGACAAACGCGTAACTCCCAGTTGCATAGGTTCTGGAGGAGCGACTGCTGTTGTCTCGGATGAAGGATAAGTTAATGCTAGGCGTTCTGGCACCCGTCGAGGTCTGTCTCTAGTATTCTGTCTGTGTCGGAGACGCTCATCAATGTGGGAAAGGTATGTGATCAGTTCCTCTAGTACATTGGGTAAGTCTCTAGTGGCAACTTCATCTAGAAGTTTATCTGAAAGCCCGTTCATGAATACGTCAACAAACGCTTGTTTATTCCATCTAACTTCGGCCGCATGGGTACGGAATTCTAGAGCGTAATCAACAAGAGAACCAGAACTCTGTCTCATACGTAGCAAGGTCTTGGCAGCATTAGTTCTCCTCCCTGGAGGATCAAAAGCCCTCCTAAAAGCTGCGACAAATTCTACATAGTTAAACACTATCGGGTTATCGTTCTCCCATAGAAGATTCGCCCAAGTTAACGCCCTATCAACCAATAAAGTGATGACTATTTTTGCCCTATCTGTAGGGTATGCTCTCGGATGAAGCTCAAAATAAATACTAACTTGATTCAAAAAACCTCGGCAACCTTTAGGATAACCCCCGTAATGGAGGTAGCATGATTAGGAGTACCCATAGTAACCATTTCCATGGGTTGTTCCTGAGGTCTGAGTACTGGGATTTGCTCCTCCGGTTGGAGATGGGCAGTACGAGCTAGCAAGGTTTGTACCGCAATAGCGAACTGGTCCATGCGATGGTCCAGTTCTTCAAACCGGTCAACCGGTCATCAGGTACCAGAGTTTATCGGGAATGGACAATGGCAAAGGGAGGCCCAAAGGACGACCTTTGGATGACTTCATGGAGGCACAGACCCTACAAGCATTATTATGAAACAGTGGCAACAGGTAAATCAACAATGGGAACTCAGAGGTTCGTCATTTTGTGGAGTAAAATAGCGCAAAGTATATATATTTTCACCAGAAAGTGGCCTCATTCAACCCTCAACCCCTAACCCTAATCCTAGTAGGGTTACGGGTAGGGGAGGGGTTAGGTTTGGGGTTAGGGGTATTCGGTCATGATCTTGAGCAGGTCAGATAAGAGACTTTGGCCAGGGTTGTTATTTGAGACTTTATTGGTGCTTTTAGACATAGTATGAAACTTAAGAAAAAACAGAATTAAGACAATGTGCCACAAAACAGGATACTTGCAAATAATAAAGAAAGTCTTTGATCTCAAGGTAGGGTTGAAACAAAGGCAGGTTGGTATCAAAGGCAGGCTGGTTACAGAGGAAGGCTGATAACAGAGGTAGGCTTGTAAAACAGGAAGGTTGGTAACAGAGGCAGAGGTCAAAGTCATACGTAAGAGTGGAGCAGGGTGAAGGTAAGTCTGGAGCAGATTGGTATGGAGCAGGGTTGAAGGTAAGTCTGGAGTAGGTTGGTATGGAGCAGGGTTGAAGGTAAGTCTGGAGGAGGTTGATATGGAGCAGGGTTGAGGGTAAATCTGGAGCAGGTTCACAGGAGCCAGGAACTGAAGTCTTTCAGGCAAATCATCAACTTCAGTGTAAAGGCCTTGAGGTTAGTTGGTTGTAGCCTTTTGTAGCTGAAGCAAGTAATTAAACATGAGTAGGTGAGATTGCAGAACTAAAGGCAAGGGAGGCCACTGGTGGTAAATAATAAAATCAGAGCAGGAACTTGTTTTAAAGGAACAGAAATAAAAGAAACAAAAGTCTTGTTTGTCAGGATATGATCCTGACATAGGGTTAGGGAACTGTCAAAGTCCCGAAGTGCCAAAGTCCCAAATTTCGGAAGTGCCAAACCGAACCGAAGTGCCGGATTGCCGAAGTCCTGAATGGCTGAAGTCCCAAATTTCAGAAGTGCCGAACCGAACCGAATGTTTTTCCCATGCACATCCCTATTAAAAATGAACTTGGACTTTATTACTTTCTTCAATTGAATTGAAAAATGAACCTGTAATATGGTAAACAAAAAAAACAAAACAGTTTGGAAACAATTTCCATTTTGGAGTAAAGGGAGAGGTAAGTTTAAATAGCTTCTAAACTAATGTGATTGGCTCCTGTCATATCCACCCCCCCAAAAGGTAAGTGTATGGGGAGTGTGGCATAACAGGGGCCAATGGGAGCCTTTTAACAATTTAGGCTCCCACTGTCTCTTTAAGAGCGCGCCCGAGACTCGCGGCGCGCTCTTAGATTCAGGCGGGACACGTGACCGCTTCTCGCGGTCACTGCCCGCCTTTCTAGTGAAGCTGTCAGATGAGCCGCACGCGGCTCGTGCAGCAGCAGGACCGCGCGCGGCTCGAAGAGAGGACCACGGCCGGCCCCTGGATAAGGTGAGTAACGCTACAGTACCCCCCCTGAGGACACGCCCTCTGGGCGGGTAGGGCCAGGCCTGGCAGAAAAACGAGAATGGTAAGAACGCACAAGGCGGGGAGCGTGAACAGCATCAGCTGAAATCCAACAGGGCTCCTCAGGCCCATAACCCTTCCAATGCACCAAGTACTGAAGTCGACCCCTAAGGTAACGAGAGTCAAGAACAGCAGAGACTTCGAATTCCTCATGACCCTCCACGGAGACAGGAGGGGGAGGCGGAGAATGCCGGGTATAGCGGTTGCGTACGTAAGGCTTCAACAACGAGGTGTGAAATACATTAGGAATACGCAGATTCCTAGGAAGACCCAAGGCGTATGAAACAGGATTAACCTTATGCAGTATACGATAAGGACCTATGAAGCGGGGAGCCAATTTCATAGAAGGCACCCGCAGGCGAATATTCCGCGTGGAAAGCAAAACCCTGTCCCCCACAACATAAGTAGGAGCCGCCCTGCGATGCTTGTCAGCCTGAGCCTTCTGGCGAGCAGCGGAATCCACCAAAGAACGCTGAACCTGCTCCCAAGTATTACGCAAACCAGCCAAATGCTCATCCAGAACTGGCATGCCCTGTGAGGAGAATGCAGCCGGAAGAACAACGGGATGCTGGCCATAGACAACGTAAAAAGGGCTTTTGCCGGAAGAATCATGAGTGGCATTATTCCGAGCAAACTCAGCCCAAGGAAGTAGGTCAGACCAATTGTCCTGATGGTGAGACACAAAACAACGAAGGTACTGCTCCAGAGACTGGTTGGCACGTTCAGCAGCTCCATTAGACTGGGGATGGTAAGCGGAAGAAAATGAGAGAGAAATACCCATTTCTGAGCAAAAGGCTTTCCAGAACCTGGAAATAAATTGGCTACCCCTATCGGACACGATAGATACAGGAATACCATGTAACTGAAATACTTCTCTAGCGAAGATAAGAGCCAGTTCTTTGGATGTGGGCAACTTGCGAAGAGACACAAAGTGAGCCATCTTGGAAAACCGATCTACTATCATCAGGATGACTGTGTTACCATTCGAAGGGGGTAATTCAACAATAAAATCCATGGATAGGTTAGACCAAGGTCTCTCGGGAACTGGTAAGGGATGCAGAAGCCCACAAGGAACTCTACGAGACGTTTTCATACATGCACAAGTAGTACAAGCACTTATATAGTCAGTGACATCCTTGCGTAAGGAACCCCACCAAAAATATCGAGAAACTGCTGACATTGTTTTGGTAATACCAGGATGTCCAGCAGTCTTAGTATCATGATATAATGACAGAATCTCCCGTCTCTCGGGAACATCAACAAACAATTTATCAATAGGCCTCTCGCTAGGTGCCATACTTTGTTTCGCCTGTATGGTCTGCAAGAGGGATGAAGAAATAGACAACATAGTAGTGGCTATTATCCTGTCTGGGGGAATGACAGGAGTAACATCAACCTCCTGTTTGTCAGTAGTTTCAAACTGTCTGGACAGAGCATCTGCTTTAATGTTGCGATCACCTGGCCTATAGGTGATAATATAATTGAAAAGGGACAAAAATAGTGACCATCTAGCAGTGGCGGATCCAGAGCCTGATCTTGGGAGGGGCACTTGTAGATTATTTAAATAAATAATCCAGGCACAATAACCACTACAGCTCAGTGTAGTAGTTATGGTGTCAGTAGTGCCAGGATTCCACCCCAGAGTAAGTAGTCATACAGTTTAAGAACAGTTTGACAACTTACCTGGGGTCTGCTGGGATATAGGGTATAGGAGCAGTGGTGTGTGTTAAGGGTGAAGTGTGTGAGTGCGGCAGTGTATGTCAGGGTTGTAGTGTGTGTGTTAGGGGGCAGTGTATGTATGGGGGCACTGTATGTGTTTTTGGGGCAGTGTGTGTATGGGGGACAGTGTGTGTATTGGGACAGTATTTGTGGGGCAGTGTGTGTGTATGGGGACAGTGTTTGTGGGGCAGTGTGTGTTTGTGGGGCAGTGTGTGTATGGGGACAGTGTTTGTGGGGCAGTGTGTGAATGGGTGTGCAGTTTGTGTATGGGGACAGTGTTTGTGGGGCAGTGTGTGTATGGGGACAGTGTTTGTGGGGCAGTGTGTGTATAGAGGGGCAGTGTGTGTATGGGGGGCAGTGTGTGTGTATGGGGACAGTGTGTGTGTGTATGGGGACAGTGTGTGGCCTTTAATATGGGGGGCAGTGTGTGTGTGTATGGGGCAGAGTGTGTGTATAGGGCAGTGTGTGTATGGGGACAGTGTTTGTGGGGCAGTGTATGTATGGGGCAGTGTTTGGGGGCAGTGTGTGTATGGGGACAGTGTTTGTGGGGCAGTGTGTGTATGGGGACAGAGTTTGTGGGGCAGTGTGTGTATGGGGACAGCGTTTGTGGGGCAGTGTGTATGGGGCACTGTTTGTGGGGAAGTGTGTGTATGGGGGCAGTGTTTGTGGGGCAGTGTGTGTAATGGGGGGGCAGTGTGTGTGTGTGTGTAATGGGGGGGCAGTGTGTGTATGGGGCAGTGTGTGTGTATGGGGGCAGTGTGTGTATGGGGGCAGTATGTGTATGGGGGCAGTATGTGTATAGGGGGGCAGTGTGTGTGTATGGGGGCAGTATGTGTAGCAGGGGAAGACTTGGTGTATGGGGGCAAGCGTGTGTATGGGAGGGCAGTGTGTGTATGGGGCAGTATGTGTATGGGGGCAGTGTGTGTATATAGGGGGGCAGTGTATGGGGGCAGTATGTGTATAGGGGCAGTGTGTGTATGGGGGGGGCAGTGTG